GAACCCAGAAACCAACAGAACCGGCGCTCGCCACCCGGCGTCCCCCAAAGTGCTCGCCACTCACAGACGGACGAAAATTAATTTCCTTTCTTCCTGCGCCACAAAAGCAGATTAAAATCCCCGGGGCGAGCGGAGAGGCGGCCCCACGTCTCGGGACGGCCGAGGCACTTGAGGAGGCCGGAGCCGCAGCTGAGGGCCGGGCTGTGACTCCGCTGGGGTGATCAAACAGCTAGTCAAGGACGCTGTCAGGAGCAGAATGAAATTCCAAATAAATTAGCCATGTCCGAGAAGCCGATACAGCGCCGGATTAAGGCGCACAAAGGAAACGCAGTTCATTCAGCCTACCTGGTCAGAATCCTTAATCGCCTCCCTCGCTCTTCTCACCTCGGGCTGAGGTCCCCGACCGGAGGCCGCCCGAGCCCCGCGGGGGAGGCGGGCCGAGATGCGTGCGCTCCAAGTCTGGGGCACCCCACGCAGGGGTGCTGCGGCCGGCGCCTGGGGCCACAGGCCCGGGGCGGGGAGGGGCGCCTCTCTGGGCCTCGAGGGCGAGCGGCCCCGTCCCACGAGGGCGCGCTTTCCTGGCCCGGGACGGGGGTGGCCCCTGTTTCCGCTTGACTCTTGGGGGCTCTGGGAGGAGCGCACGGAGCCCCCCGTCCCGAGGCGGCTCTGCGGGTGTCCGGACGCAGGGGTCATGGCAGCTTTGGGACGACAGGCCGGAGAGCGGCCCGGCCTGTGCGCGTCCGACTGTCCCGCTAATGTATTCAACGGCCCTAAAGACAATTCCTTTTTTATCAATGAGCCCAGACGGCTTTCACACACCAACAAACGCCCTTTGAAAGAGTTAATAGCAGAGGTCTGCGCGGCCTGGGCAGGCACCTTTGAAGGCTGTGTGGGCCGTGTGCGCGGGCGGGTGCTGGGCCTTTCTTTTTCACAGGGAGGAGGTGGGAGTCGGGGGAGGGGGTTTGCTTTGCAGCACTAAGACCTCTGCAAGAGATAAAACCAGCAGGAATTCTGAGAGGTGCTGGAAGGAAGTGGGAAGGAGTGTCGGCGCTTGAGAAATGCACACAGGAAGATTTTCCCAGAAACGAGGGGGCGGGGGCAGACGACCCGCAGCGTTAAATGACAAGGAGCAGCCGCAGGGCCCTCCCTGGCGGCCAGCGGGTCAGAGCGCAGCACTGCAGGCCGCCACGGCCGCTTCGGCGGGAGTTCGAGTCCCGCCACCCCGGGGGGGACCCACAGGGCGCAGCTGACCCTCCTGTCTCCCCGCTGCGCCCCTCAGCAGTGCGCTTCATGCATCCGCCTGTCCTGCTCCCCACTCTGTCTCTGGGGAGTCCCTTCACGCCCCTGCACTCTGGCCTGTGCCCGGTTCAAAAGAGAGAGAAGAAATGCCCTGGGGGTGCAGGTCTACAGAAATCCAGCTCCCTGGATTTCTAAACAAAAGGAGACACATAACGGACGGGCTGGGGCCCCGGAGGCCGACCAGGTCCGTGGCCTGAGAGCGCGGGCCGGGCCGGGCCCGGAGCTGGAGGACGGCAGCCCCCGAGGCCTCGGGCTCCAGGGTGGATGGAGCCGCTGCAGGGCATCACGGAAAG